CACGAACGACTCTATTATAAGCTACCTAGAAGTGGGGACCAGTTTGTTCTGTCTACTGAGTCCCAAGGCCTAACACAGGGAATGGCAAGTACTTAGCAAAAGTGCGCGGTGCTTAACTTCCAGACCAATGGTAAGTAATGGCCTGAGACAATTCCCTGGACAATTCTGAGCTAAATGTGGTTTTTGCTCCGGCTTCTCCTCCTTTCCGAGGGCCAGCTCAAACTGAATGTGTGACTGTAGGCATGCACGCGCGAGCCAGGAATGGTGGGGAAAGGGGAAGACTGTGGGTAAATGAACTGAGTGATTTTTTCGATTGCATATAAGTAAAAAATTCAATTGCGCAAGGGAGTGTCAGAGTGAATTGGAAACGTGTCTCTGGGAGGGGCTGGAGAATGGAGCAGAGTGAGCAGTGTGTCAGAGTAAAAGGTTTTAAGTGTAAGTAACTGTGGATAGTGAGGGCCCCAGGAAGGGACACCGGGGAATCCCCGGCTTCACCTGCCTCGCATAGTGCTCCGCCACTCTACTCCCCACTAGAGGTACTTACTATTGGCAAGTACCCAGCGGCAACACCCAGTGGAAAGGCGCAAAAGTCCGCCCCCCAGGGGAAGTAAGGGCACCTCCACACGCGATCCGCTCCAGTATAGTGTCTCCCAGGACGAAAAAGGTGTGGACACCATTCCCACCGCAGATCACTCTCATGGTCACTCACCTTGTCATCCGCCATCTTCCCCGTCGAACTTGTTGCGCAGGCGCAGCCCTCCCATCTTATGTCAAGTGCTACTGCCATCTTCACTAAGGGCAGAGGAACTTCCGGGGCATTTTTGAAAAGGAAGGAAGCCCTTTCGTGGCCACCGAGCCTTAGCGGTCTCCTGCCCGCAGATACTCCCACATGACCCCTCCCTTCAAGCCCCAGGCTGCGTCTGCGCGCGCGCACACTTCCTGGGCGCGATGATCTCACTCGTGCGCGTCTGTGAGCGGCGCGCGTTTGTCTGGCAGGTCGTTCGCCTCTTGATGAGACCTTAGTTGCGAGGGGGTGTAGGCCATTCGCTGGCGTCAGTGCTCCTCCCCTGGACCCACGCACGGAAACGCGCACCCATTTGGGGATCCATACGCCTGTATACACGCACCAGCCCTCCGCGGGCGGTGCTGCTCAGGCTCATCCTTTTTCAACCCCGGGATCTGGCCGCTACCTTGCCTCGTTTTTGTGCGGCGCCTGCTGGCCCGGCTCACTCCAGCGCAGAGAGGCTGGGTTTATAGGCGCAGCAGCTCCGGAGGTCGAGTTGGGCTTAGAGTACAGGCCGGCGGAGGCCGGCTGGGACACGGCCGGGGCTATGCTGGGCAAGGATTACATGCTGGCCATCATTCTGGTCAACTGCGATGGTGTGCACGGAGGGGCCTGGTGGGAGGACTGAGAGCTGAGGGGACGAGGGAGCGCGAAAGGCTAACCAGAGGCTCAAATGCAGGGAGGGGGGTACGTCTCGGGGTAAGAACCAGGGCACAAATGAACCCTGATCTTTGCACCGCAATATCCAAGATTGGGAGCTTGGACCATCAGCTCGGACCTCCAGCATAAGAGTTGACAAGGTGTTATCTAAACCTACAAATATGCCCTCCTTCTCCAATCCTGTGTTACCCCTTTCCATTCCATGTTCCTGTAGATGACTTGTGGGGGGACCAGAGTCTGGAGGGGGAGCCAGGCCTGCCCCCTGGCTGGAGGAAGATCCATGATGCTGCAGGTACTTACTATTGGCATGTACCCAGCGGTAGCACCCAGTGGCAACGCCCAACCTGGGAGCCAGGAGATGCCGAGGACTCAGGCACGGTAGGTGGAGTGCGAGGAGGGGGCCTGAGCTCATGTGTGTACTTAGGCCTGCTGCTGCACTGACCTAGCCCCCTCTCTACAGAGGACGGAAGGGATTTGGGGACTTCGTCCCCCCAAGGGGAGATCCTTCTCCAGCCTGGAGAGCTCACTGGACCGGAGGTAACAGGGATAGGCCAAGCCAAATGAAAGGCTTGGGGTTCCATGGCACTGAGAGATGCAGCTGGACCCACAGTCTGCTCTTCAGCCCAGGTTCTGGACTCTGTCCCATGTTTAGGGCTCTATCCTGTGCTCTTGGCTCTGTCCCATGTACTTGACTCAGTATTTTGAGTTTTATCCCTTGTTCCAAGCTCTGTTTTGCCACATATTCTTTTCCTTATCCTGGGTTGTGACATATGTTCTAGGCCTTGGCCACTGTCCTGGGCTCTGTCAATGGAGGTTCGCATCTTGTGTTCTGGAATCCCTTATCCTGATTTTGGGCTATGCTCTGTCTTCACAACTTCTATGTCCTGTGTCCTGAATTTTTCTTTAAATTCTAAGTCACCCTTTATGTTACATTTATTTAATATGTCCTGGGTCCTGACCTGCTCTGGTTTTATATTCAGGACACTATATATTCTGGGTCTAATTTCACCTCTTGTGCCCATTAAGTAGTCTGGGCCTCAGCAGTGTCCCTTCTGTAGGAAGTGTGGTCCTCTTACCAGCTCTGCTCTGTTCCAGTAACGCTCTGTCCTGGTATGGTGAGGAATCCTACATCCAGAGCATGGAGCCAGGGACTAAGGTAGTGACTTGGGCCTGAGGGTCAGCTCATGGCATTGGGGAGGGTCCCAAGGGAAAGGTCAGGGGTGTGATTGGGCTGAGCAGAGATGATCAAGGGTGAAGAGGTTTCAGAGGATTTACGTGTGTGGAGCCTGTGGCATCTCCCACCCTACTCCACCTCTCTTCACTCAGGGCCTTCCTGTTCTTTCTCACAACCCACCAGTGCTTTGCAGTCCGCTCTCTGGGCTGGGTAGAGATACCCGAAGAGGACCTGGTACCAGGGAAGAGCAGTATTGCAGTCAATAACTGTATCCAGCAGCTGGCCCAGACCCGCAGCCGGGGCCAGCCTCCAGATGGTGCCTGGGGTGAGGTGAGCTGGCCAGCCCTTGAAGGGATTCAGCCCAGGATCCAGCAGAGGTGGTTGTCCCTGAATTGCCTGTTCCTAATGGCAACCACTTTCATCTGAGCTTTGTGTTGCCCTCTGTCCTTGGCAGGGCCAGAACATGCTGATGATCCTGAAGAAGGATGCCATGAGCCTGGTGAATCCCCTGGACCACAGTCTGATCCATCGCCAGCCTCTGGTGCACATCCGTGTATGGGGTGTAGGCAGCTCCAAGGGCCGGTGAGGACCTTACATCCCTCCAAGTGAAAGTTGCTCCTTTTCCCTACAGTCTGCGCTCCCCACTTGATGCTGATCCCTTGTACTTGAACCCCTGGACACAGATCCTCTGACATGGACCCAAGCTCTGCCTCCCCTGACTGGTCCAGCCCTGCTTGGGGAGGGTGGGCTCAGCTCAGCAGGGACAGATGGGGGAGATCCTGAGAGGCTGAGCTGATTCTCTCCTGTGCTCCCACATGCTTCCGGAATAGTGACAGGTGAGTGACAACCAGGTGCCTTGAGCCCCAGCCCTGATTTGTGTGTCCGTCCCTGCCATATCTCTTGCCTGACTTTCTAGCCCTTCGCAGGCACTACAAGCCCCTGCCCCTACGCAGTCTCTACCCCAGCCCCATCTCTACCCCTGCCCCAACCCTTGCCCCATCTCTTACCTGCCAGGGACTTTGCATTTGTGGCGGGTGACAAAGACAGCTGTATGCTCAAGTGCCATGTGTTTCGCTGTGACGTCCCTGCCAAGGCCATTGCCAGTGCCCTACATGGGCTCTGTGCCCAGGTAAGGGCAAGGAGTGGGGTAGGGAATGTGTAATGAAGCTTGGTCTAAAGCTGCTGAGGTGGTGGGGGTAGGGTATGGGCTCCCTTAGCTCTATTTCTCTCTCCTGTGCCTTGAGTTAGCTGCATTGTGTTTCAGATCTTGTCAGAGCGAGTAGGAGTCACTGGTGATTCCCCTTGCTGTTCTCTAGACCCCATCTCCCCTGAAGACCTGCCACGGCAAGGTATGGGGAGGGATGTGCTGCATTGCAGCAATAAGCTATTTTAGTGAAAGACGGGGAGGGGGTCTTGGTTATTTAGTACTCTCCTGGAGAATATGGGACTTCTGAGGTGTCCTGGTCCCAGGATTCTTAGCCTTGGATTAGCGGTGCATCTGTAGTCTTCTGTTTTCTGCTAGCTCTGGCTCTCTTATTAGGGTGGGGAAAGGGGTCACTGAGAGAGCACCCAGGCCAACTTGGTGTGTATATTTCAGTGGAGCTGCTGGATGCAGTGAGCCAGGCTGCTCAGAAGTATGAGGCACTATACATTGGGACCCTGCCAGTTACCAAGGCCATGGGTGAGGACTGAGCAGGCTGGAGGGGGTGGTGGGCTGCATGAGGCAAGGGGAAGGTGGGTGAGGTAGGATCTACCATTGTTTCTCAGTGTGCTTCCCTGGCCCTGTATGGCCCGGATGTACCACCCTTCCCAACTCAGGATTCTAAACCCAGCCCCAGGTATTTTCTTCCTATCTCTCTGAATCCCAAGTTAGTGAGAGGGGTCTAGACACTTCCTGCAGATCCCTTCTTTACTTTTGAGAGGCCCCATCATGGGCATGTCTCCTCAGGCATGGATGTACTGAACGAGGCCATTGGTATCCTCACCAGCCGGGGGGACCAGGATGCCTGGATCCCTGCCATGCTCAGTGTGTCTGACTCTTTCATGACTGCACATCCCATTCAGGTACCAGAAGGTGAAGTTGGAAGCTGTGGAGGGTGGGCAGGGATGCTGGGGGTTCGTTGCTTGCTGCTGGAAGAGCTCAGTGGGTCCAGCCAGTGCCTGGCCCTCTAGTGACTAGGCCTGGTGTGGGCAGGCAGAGGCTGGTGCAGAGGAGGAGCCACTGTGGCAGTGCCCTGTGCGCCTTGTGACCTTTATTGGTGTTGGCCGTGACCCACACACCTTTGGCCTCATTGCTGACCTGGGCCGTCAGAGCTTCCAGTGCGCAGCCTTCTGGTGCCAGCCCCACGCAGGGGGACTCTCTGAAGCTGTGCAGGCTGCTTGCATGGTGAGTTGGGGTGGGAATGGTGGGTGGGGTTGCCCCGTAGCTGCTTTGTACTGTTGACTGGGGCTTAAGATTGGCAACTTCGCTAGAAATCACAAACCAGTGATCCCAGGGCTGACTATGGTTCACTAGTGTTTTATTTGGCCTTCATGATGTTTTTAGTAAGTTTTTAATGAGTTGTCAGTATTTAAGGCCAGGATATTTCACATAATAATTGCTATTCCTATTTTTGTTACAATATCAGAAGCTCTGACACTGGGTCCACATGTATAAATTTCAACATTCAGCTGGAATGACGTAGGGGCTGTGCCCTGTAGAGTAGGCATTGTCTTTTTTGGGGGTCTCATTTAGATTATTTCCTGGTATCTCTGGATATTTGATTGTGGGACACTTGTACTCTTCAGCTTATTCACTCAACAAATATGAGTACTTGCAGGGTACCAGGCACCAGATGTGACCCTGAGAATTCAGGAGTATGAGGGCACAGCCTTAGGTTACAGCAGACAGACTAGAAAGAGGTACACCACAGAATGAAGGAAGAGACAGCCCCTTCAGGAGTTCCAGAAGGCAACCTGAAAGAAGTGATAGGAAAGAGAGTTGAAGGTCCAAGGAGAACGTTAGCGAGGTGAAGAGCAGTAGGACAGAACGTGTGCCAAGTACGAGGAACTACATCTGGGAAGGTGAGAGGTATCAGTGGATTAGAGTATCTGAAAGAATCTAGTGTATCTGGAGTGAAAGAGAGGGAGAGATGGCAGAAACCAGGTCATGGAAGAACTTATAGGTCAGGGCAATTTTCTTTTTTTTTTAAAATCCCAAGGCACATTGAACCATTGAAAGGTTTTGAGCAGGACAGTGAAATGAAGTCAGGTTTGTGGATTAGGAAGACCACTTAAGCTACAGTATGAGTAAAAGATTTGGAAGAAACAAGAAGTAGGAAGACTATTTAGGATCCTCTGAGTTCAAATGAGAGAAGATTGAGGCAGTTGCACTGGAAATGGAGTTTGGGTTGTAGATCCCTTGACTAAGGGAATCTACTTTGCCAGGGGCCAGTCTATTCCAATGAGAGATGGAGGAGATTCAGCCTAGTGGTAGGTTTGGTTCTGCAGACAACTAGGTTTGAATCTCAATTCTACCATTTTCTGGCTAGGTGATCTTGGATAAGTTGTGTGTTCTCTCTAAATCTCAATTTCCTCATTTGCAAAATGGGGATTATAATAACACCTGATAATAGGTTTATGTTACATTATATAAAGCGTTTAGCACAGTGTCCAGCCCTCCTTAAGTGCTCAGTAAATGTCAGGTTTTATGTTTTTGTTATTGTGGTACCTGAGAATGCTGTAGGAGCTCCAGATGTGCAGACTACAAGTCTCATATCAGACTTAAGACTTAAATCCCCTGTCCTGCAGAAGCTTTCAGGGAGTCCAGGGGCAGAAAGGAGCTGGATCCTCACATTCCCCTTCTCCCTAGGTTCAGTACCAGAAGTGTCTTGTGGCCTCTGCAGCTCGAGGCAAGGCCTGGGGTGCCCAGGCCCGAGCCCGCCTGCGGCTCAAGCGGACCAGCTCTGTGGACTCCCCAGGAGGTCCCCTGCCTCTCCCCCTGCTGAAAGGAGGGGTCGGGGGTACAGGAACAGCCCCTCGAAAGCGGGGTGTCTTCTCTTTTCTTGATGCCTTCCGGATGAAACCCTCTCTGCTCCATATGTCCTAAATTGATCTGGGAGGACTGGAAAAGGATGCTCTGGGTCCATGCTCAACTCTGTACCCCTTAATTCCCCAGGGGCCTGTAGCCTCTTACCCCCCTTGGAGCCTTCTCTGACTGCCTCTCCGACCTTTTTCAGCTTCTGTTTATTGCCCAGTTTATTCTTTAAATGGATGACAGAGACCCTGCACCCCAACCTAGGTAGGTTCTTGGCTCTCCTTTTCCTAGGTCCCTGTGTTCCTTGTCCCTGTCCAGCCCCAGACAGTTGGCTCTACCTCAGCAACACTTTATAGTAAAATCAGTACAAATAAAAATCCTTCAGTGACCTCATGGGGTGTGAGTATATTGGGCTTGGGACAGGGTTGGGGGATTAACCACCTGTGTGAAGTGTGTCTGTGCTTGGTGTTGGTGGTTCCCTGATGGAAGTCTGACTTTATTCAACAAGTATATTTTCTAAGGTCTTCTCTGTGCCAGGCACTAAGCCAGACACCGGAGATGTAATGAAATAGGGTCTCCTCTTTGAGAATGTCAGAAAGAGTGACGGACAAGAGTCAAATAAACAAGAGAGAAGATAATATACAGTAAAACTAGGAAAACTGAGGGTTGTGGGAGCTCAGATGAGACAGACATACCTAGCCTGAAGCAGTACTAGGCTTCCTGAAGAGTTGACACCTGAGTGCAAAGGAATTCTGTACTAGTTACCAAGCCTAGAGAGTATAAATGTGCGGGGCAGTGGTCGGAGGCGAGGTTCTAAAAGTCTACCTGCCTAGATCACAGAGAGGTATATGTGGGGCAGGAACTTCTGGTGGTTTAAACAATCCTGAGAGCAACTGTGAGATGTGGAGAGACTGCACACAGAAGGGACTAGGGCTCCTAGAACGCCTCCTCCTGAAAGACAGCCCCGTTTGGTGCCTTGTGGTCAGGACCCCGATGCATTTCTAACCGGAGGTTTCGAGTCCCTTAGGATGTGGGTGCAGAATCTTAGCAGCGGCTCTAGGCGTTTCTGAACGGTCCAACCCATAGTGCTCCAGGCAACAAAGCTGGGGCGGGGCGCCCCGGAAGTGACGCGTTGCCTTGCTGGCGTCCGGAAGTGGAGATGGCGGAGCTGTACGTGAAACCGGGTGAGCGTGGTGGGAGGTTAGGGACGCTGGGTCCACCTTTCTCCCCGGGCCGGACCCTCCATTTCCCCCGGGCTTGCTTCACACATGCCCTTCTGTCCGCAGGGAACAAGGAGCGCGGCTGGAACGACCCGCCCCAGTTCTCCTACGGGCTGCAGACCCAGGCCGGCGGACCCAAGCGCACTCCGCTCACCAAGAGAGTCGCCGCTCCCCAGGATGGAGCCCCCAGAGGTGCGTGGGGTCCTGGGCGCCGAGAGCGGCTGAGAATGGGCAGTGCCAGGGATAAGCTTGGCCCGAGGGCCCTTTTTGCTCTTCTGAGGATTTCCTGAGAGGTTGGATCCTCAGAAAGAGCCTCCGGGCAGGCCCTTTTCCGAGATGCTCTACTGCCCAGGTCAATAAATGGTACGTTGGTTTCAAAAGAATCGCTCTATGTTTTCATTCAAAGTGATTTCATGCAGACCTATTGTTTTAATGTAGTTTTTACTGTCAAATTTTATTTCCAACCTGGATCTCTATCAGGAACATCATAGCGTATATCCATTTGTCTGTTCTACATCCTCACTTTGCTCTACAGTAAGCATCTCAGACATAACATGTTACCCATTCACTCATGCGTTCATGCATGCATTCATTCATTATCATCTACTGAGCACCAGGTATGAGTCCCGCACTGTTTGAGGGCGAACTAGACGGCAGTGAAGAGGACAAAAAGGTTTCTGCTTTCATGGAGTCCACACTCTCCCTTTGGAGACAGACAAATGAAATAGTGGTAAGGGCTCTGCAGAGAAATAAAACAATGTGAGAGTGACCAGGTACCTAAGATAGGTACCTGAAGGGTTGACATTTAAGATGAAATCTGGATGATGATTAAAAGCTATCTCCACAAAGATCAGATGCATTGCAGGCATTGGAAATCATTAGAACAAATGCCTAGAGAACAAGGAACACCTCATGGCTAGAGCACAGTGGGCTACGGATAGTGGTTAAGAAGTAGGCATGGGCCAGGTCATAGTGGGTTTTGTAAGCCAGGATAAGGAGTTTGTATTTTAATTTATGTAAAGTTGGAAGCCATTGAAATTTTAAAGTAGTAGAGGGCTGCCTTTTCACCTGAGCATTTCTCATGCCAATAGGTGGGGCTGTGGCCTTGAGAAGAGGCTCAGATTCAGCTTTTCTTTAGCATCCCTGTATTCTCCACAGCCTAACACTGCAGAGGAGTGATATAAGCCAAGGTTTCTTAACCTTAATTTTTTGTCCTGAGGGACTGTCCTGTACACTGTAGGATGTTGGCAGCATCCCTGGCCTCTATCCACTAGTTGCCAATAGCACCCTTCTAGTTGGGACAGCTAAGGTATCTTCAGACATTTGCCCTAAGGGTAACATCTTCCCAGATTAAGAAATACTGACTTAACATTTTAAAACAATATTGTATCTGCTGTGTGGAAGATTTTAGGGATGAAGTGGAAAGTCAAGAGGTTTTTATGGTAACAGGCAAGATTTAGTGATGTTTTAGACAAGGGTAGGAGTAGGAATTGGATGGATATGGGACATGGAGAAAGTAAGAATGAGTAGATATAGGAGGCAAGGGCAAGAAGAATCAGTGTAACGTGAATTTTTGCTTGAGGAACTGGCTGGTATTGTTCATTGATATGAAAAGCCTGGAGAATAGTGATTTTGGGAGAGGGTAAAAGCAAGCTTTCTGTCTTGGCCATGTTGACTTTCAGCTGCTATTTTGGGGAGAGGTGTAGGCCATAATTACAGAAACGAATCACCACCATACGGATGGTATTTGATGTCATGGATGTGACTAAGGTTACCAAGGAGAGTGTGTGGACAGAGCCCTAACATTCTCTAGTGTTTCATGCTTGAGTAGAGAAGGAATTAGCAAAGGAGACTGAGAAATAGCAAAGAAGTAAGAAGAAAAGTAAAATTTACTCTAGAAGAGAGTAGAATCTTGACGTAACCGTGATGAATGCCGCATAGAGGTCAAGAAAGAAAAGTTTTGACCTACATAACGATCACTGATAACCCTAAAAAGTCGATGGAGTGATGAGAACAGAAACCCAGCTAGAGTGGACTGAGGACTGAATGTGAAAAGAGGCAGAGAAGTAACTACAGGCAGCTCATTTAAGAAATTCTGCTATGAAGTAGAGATGAATAATGGGGTGTGTCGGGGGTGGGGAGGTACCTGAAGATGGAATGTGAGGTAAAGGAGGGTTTTTGTTTTTAAGACAGTATACACTAGAGCTAGTTTGTATGCAGACAGTATGGTTCAGGAAAGTGGGAGAACTGATGGTGCAGGAGAAAAAGGTTAAGGTTAATTGTAAGACGGAAGCCTAGAAAAGGCAGGGGAGGCTAGGGTACAGAGTTCAGCTGGAGAGATGGTCTCTGATAGCAGGAATCTCATCTATTAGAGGAGGAAGAAAGTGGCCACCATACAGGTGGGTTAGTAGAACTGATAGTGAAAAAGAAGGTAAAAGTTTAGGATAAATAAGATGTGAAAATTGTTGTTGTGAAGAGTAGAAAATGAAGCAAAGTGTAAGATTTCCAGGCAGTGCTGGATACCTTTTAAAATCTGTAGCCATGAATTTAAGGTGTAACTCAGCATGGTTCTATTTTTCCTCTTGACAAGTGCAGACAAGCTGAGTTTACCAAGAAAGTGGGACAATGGGAGGGGATAAGTGAGGTAAGTGTTTATAAGGGAGTGATTTAAATGCATGGCAAAGTCTGAGTAGCTAGCTGGAAGGGGAGGAGAGGTGGTCAGATTTTGGAGATGGTACACTGTTGAGAACACAGCAGAAGGGAAATGAGGGGCTGAGAAAATGGGTGGAAAATGAACATTGGAGGTGAGATCAAGAAACCAAGAGGCCACATTATTATATGACTTAATTTTCCATGTGGATGTTGATGCCTAAGAATAAATACTTTTCTCCTCTAGCCTTCTCTTCTTGCAGCAGTTCCACCATCTCATAACTGAAGTCAGAAGCCAGGAGACATCCTGGACTCTCCTTCTTCACCCCCAATCCACCAAGCCCTGTTGCTTTCTCCTCTGAAATAAATCTCAGACCACTTCAATTCCCCTCATTTAGTCTTTCCCTTGAATCCATACCAGCAGCCTCTTCCCAGAGCTACTCCATTAACTTCCCAACTGGTGTCCCTGCCTCCATTCTCGACCCATTCTCATCAGTTTTTCGCAGAGCATACAGAATGAACATCTTGACTTTTCCTGCCTCTGGGTGCTGCTCTTACCTCCACCTAGTACACAATTCCTTTAGCTCTTCATGGCTGCATCTGTCTCAGCCATCAGTTCCTAACGTCGTGAGCACGTTTTGCTATACACTAATCTAACAGCTGCACTTCTTAATCGTCATTGCAACCCTGTAAAATAAGTGCTATTACTATGATATTCCTGTTTTACAGAAGAGCAACCCACGCTCAGAGGTTAAAAGTAACTTGCCATATGTCACATAGTGGGTGGGCTGGGATAAACTTAGATGTCATTCAGAAGGCCTTCCTTGAACACACAGTCTAGGCACTTCATTTTCTCTTTGTAGCATGCAACATAATTTGGTAATTTTCTTGTGTTTTTTTCCTCCCCCTTCCTCTGGAATTTAAACTGAGGTCAGGAACCTGATCTGTCTGGTCTGGTGCCTCACACTGTCTGGCACATAGTAGGGACTTCATAAATATATAGTTTTGAATGAAGGAGTTGTCTCACAGAGTAGCTCTCCACAGAAGGGATGAAGTTAGAATTGAGCTTCTTACCTATTTCAACCATGTTTGCTTGATCCTGCTTTATCTTTTCAGTCCCAACCTCAGAGACTTCTCCTGGGGTGACCCCAATGGGGCCTCCACCTCCTTCAAGCAAAGCTTCCAGGCCTCCACCTGTGGGGAGTTGTACTGCCTCCAGTGTGGAGCCCACAGATGTCCCAGTCATTGAGTGTGAGACTCTGCTGGAAGATGTGCTGAGACCTTTGGAGCAGGCATTGGAGGACTGCCAAGGCCACACAAAGGTAAGCTCTGGCATACCAGTGGAGTGATGGGGAGGGTTCTTATCAACAGCCAGATGCAGGTGTGGCTCCCAAAGGTAGACCCCCTGACCCTATAGACAGTGGCTCTTAACCCTTTTTGAGTTATGGACCCCTTTGTAACCTGCTAAGGATTTTCCAGAAAAATGAACACAGGGTTTCAGGAAGATTCAAGGGATTTCTAAAGACTAGTCAGTAGAGGAGGCTTATAGAAACCAGAGTTGAATTCAGCAGCCATTAGTGATAACAGCTTGATTTTCATACCTCTAGGACCTCTAGGCCATTTAGAGCAGAGCCTGCTGATTTTGTGCTCAGGGAGGAGAGGAAAACCCCTTTTTTCTATCTGTAGTGTTTCTTAAGTTCTGTTAAAGGATCTGGGGACTCTTAAAGGAAAAGTAACGTAGTACTTTTCACCTTTGGTCTTAGTTTTCTTATTTGTAAAGTAGCACTATAGAATGAGTTTCATAGAGTCTGAGAAACTCTGGGAATTTTTAAATTTCAGTGGAGCCTCTGACCTTGGGGTAGAGAACCAGAGCTCTTAAGATTAAGTGTAAAGTCCCTGGGCCAGAGAAAGCAGGTGCTTCCTGTGTGGCACTGTTTCCCCTACCCTGTTGGGTTGGCAGCACTGACTTGGAGGGGCTTTCTGTCTCACAGAAGCAGGTATTTGATGACATCAGCCGACGCCTGGGTTTGCTGCAGGAACAATGGGCTGGAGGGAAGCTGTCAATGCCTGTGAAGAAGAGGATGGCTCTGCTGGTGCAAGGTATGGGTGGGTCCCTTGTTATAGCCTAAGTCTCTCATCCTGGCATGGTTGGCTGAGCTGGAATAGGTACTGGGATTTTGACTGGTTGTGAGAGGAGGAGTGGGAGCTATGTCTTTTGCCTCAGACTACTTTCCCAGCCTCTCTCTCTTTCCTCAGAGCTTTCAAATCACCGGTGGGATGCAGCAGATGACATACACCGCTCACTCATGGTTGACCATGTGACTGAAGTCAGTCAGTGGATGGTGGGAGTTAAAAGATTAATTGCAGAAAAGAGGAGTCTGTCTTCAGAGGAGGAAGCCAATGGACAGAAATCTACAGCCACAGCTGAGAACCAGACTGTACCAGGCGTCCAACAGGCTCCATAATCCCGTGGGTTCCCCAGACTCACCTCACAACATCTCCTATGCCTTGTCGTGGAAGGCCTTCTCTTATTTGGCTCCCTTTTACCACTTGGGAGACTGTCTGCCCCATTTGGGTCCTTGGCCTGACCCACCTCTGGGGGAAGAGGTCCCACCTGGATCACAGGGAGGATCACTTGTTACCCATAACATACACATTTCAATAAAAACATCTCAGTGGTGGGCCCTGGGTAGATGAGCCCTTCCTATGCCAAAATGGTCCCTCTGGTGTCCTCGATTGCCGTGCTCCTTGTGCACCCTGAAAACATCTGTTCCCCTCCATTAATCATGAATGGCTTTGCTAGGCACAACCAGATTACTGCCTGCCATTTCCCCCCAAATGAGATCCAAACGCATCCCTTGCTGGGCTGAGTAGCCCCATCTTTGGATGATTTCATTTCAGCATAAGAACAGAGGTTCAGATAGCATGGGGGAAATTTTCCCTCAAAAAAAGAGACTGCTCTACTTGTACTATGTCCTCCTGAGGTATGCAAATGCTACAGAGATTAGAACCAGAGATTAGAACATAGCTGTATAAATTCGAGGGGGAAAAGATGTGAATGCTGAGATGAGATCATGACTTTTTTTCCTTGGGGCAGGGGATATGATTATGCGACTTACCAAATAAGCTGCTGTCTCATTTTGGATCTCAATTTGGGCTTTAAGTTCTCTTCCAACCCTTTAAGGACAACAGAACCAGGTGGAAGGGGCTTGTGAGAAGGGCTTAGTATTGGAATAGGGAATTGGTACTTACAAGTGGGAGGCAGAAAAGGCAGGGAGAGACCTGGGGTGGGGGAAGTGGGGATAAAAGGCTGGGGCAGTGCCTTTTTTCCTGCTTTGGAATAGGTAGGGAGGGGTTACTGGAGAGGCCTGATTGCAAGAAGGCTGCTTCCTGGAAAGCCTGGAACAGCCCTTGGCAGGGGTTAGGCTAGTACTGTTTACGGTTTGGTGGCTCCTGGAGCCTGTCTTGTAGCCTGCCAAAGGCTCTAATTGCTACTGGAAGGGGACCCAACCAGAGCTGGGAAGGGACCTGGGATCTCTGATCCTAACCAGGTCTGCAGGGGCCCTTGGCTGTGTGGCTGAGATGGGAAGATGGGCACTGAGGAGAACACGAGCCAAGGCATTTCTTTGAATGTTTACTAAGCAGTAAGAAAGTGACACACTCCGTCCCCCAGTCCTTGCCTCAGCCCCTGAGCATGGAGGGCTAAGGGTTGAAAGGAGTGCCTACAAACCAAAGAGAAAGTAGAGCTAAGGGCTTGTCAAGTTGCCCGCTCCTGTCCCTGGTCTAGCTGCCCCAGAATTAAGGGAGGCCTAAACCAAGTTACTCCCTTCCAAATTAGATGAGGCCAGCAGGCCTTTGGATAACCCCAGGAAGAGAGGGTGGCAGCAGCAGCATGAGGGATTCCTCTAACTCCACATACGAGCCATCTGCACTGGATTAGATGTCCATTTCAAATTGTGCGTCATCTGGAGAGAGAGAAGGCAGGAGGACAGGTTGCTGGGCTGAGGGTCTCAGGCAGCCTTTGGAACTGAACCCACTCTACTTAACCAGGGCATTTGGATTCAAAGACATTTCTTAATTTTAGGTCCTGCTTTCCTTACCGGGTATCTCTTCCTCTGTCTCCTTCTGCTCCTTCAGCTCCTCCAGCTTGGAGCGTAGGACTGTTGGAGTTGTGACTCCGGGAATCTGAGGGAGGCAGCAGGGGGGCGTCCGGGCAATGGGTGAGTTCTTGCACTCCAGCAGGAACTTTCGGTCGTAGATGATCCTGGTGCCTGTCAAGGGGTAGGGGCTAGGTAAGAGGCAGAAGCTTGGGTACAGAACTGTTTGGGGCCCCAGAAACAAGCCTTTTAGGGGTCGGGGAGTCATATTTCTCTGTTTGAAAGGGCTAATGGTCTGCAGCCCAGCCAGGACCTCAGCTGACCAGCCTCCATAGCATTAAGATGTCCAGGCCTAACCAAGATGTAGCTAAGTGGGGCATCCCAACTGGTCCAGGCAGAAGCTTTTGGTTCAGGGGGCTTCAGGAATTTAAGGCTGCTCCTGTTCAGCTCTGTGACTTCGCTGTTTCGGTTCACAAGGTGGGGCCTAGACCTCCAGCCTCAGTTGGATCAGGAAGCCAAGAAACATGTGAAGGCATTCCACCCGGTGCCCCCGCCTGGGCTCTGATACCCTGCAGGGAGGAGCTGTGTTCCCCATGAAACAGGGACATACTGTTCTTGTTCTGACCCCTCCCAAGTCCTATCAGACTCAGCCCAGGCTAAAGGAACTTGGCACAGAATCCTGTCCTCAAGGGCCCTGCCCTTGTGCTTAGCCGTCCCCTAGGTCTCCACGTGGCACCAACCCCTGGGTGTGGAGCCTAGCAGTTCATGATCCCGCGCTGCTCGCCGAACCGGCCAGCCACAGATACCCCAAGCCCTCGCCCCCAACTGCCCCACCTGTTCTAGTTGCTTTGCAAGACCTGATGATTCCTACTGAGGTGATGCTCATTTGGGGCCTCTGCTCCTACTCGGGGTAGGCAAAGTCAGCAGGACTGAGTGAGCAAGGCTCCCAGGACCCAGGCCAGTGAGGATTTCAGTCCCGTCACCCGGAAATAAGGCTTCACTCCCCGGCCCGCCCCCTCAAGCTACAACCTGCAGAGGAGCCTGAGGACGAGACCAAGGCCCGCACTTCCCTGACGGAACCTCCCTACCCGCACCCCGCGACAGCACGCACGCGCTGGCCTGCCCGCTGCCTGTGGACCCCAGCCCAGCCCGCTGACCTCCCGGGGTAGTTGCGTAGAGCGTGCCCCCCGGCGTGGTGCTGTAGCAGTCCGGCAGCCGGTCTCTGCCCCCGGGAATCGGGCAGCTCGTGGATGTGGACATAGCGAGCGGGACGAGGAGGAAGGCAGTAGCTGGTGCTGTGGACGCGGAGCACAGCGGAGTCTGAGGCGGACTCCGTCGACCACGTGCGGCCTCAGCAACAACACCAAGACGACGTCACGCCCGGGGCGGGGCACCAGCCGTCAATCAACCAGACAGTCCCGCCCTATCTGCGAAGGCGCAAGCCCTGGGCTCAGCAAAAGCTGGAATGATTCCCAGGTCCACAAAAGCCTGGGGTTCCTCTTGGCCCAACACTGGCCAGCCAGTCTCCGAATACTGCGGCTATCTACTACTCGCTGTTTATAGCGGGCTGCTGGGGACAGGTGAGGTTCGGCACACATTACTGCTATGTATTAATTCACCCATTCCTCTCAACAGTTTTGGACAGGAAATCACTATCATTAGCTACATTTTACGGGTGAGGAAACTAAAGCCAAGAGAGGTTACCGGTTACAAGTCACATATCTTGTAGGAGGAGGAGCTGCGATTCAGACCTGAGTGTATCTGATTCCAGAGCTTGTGCCCTTCAGAATGGCTGTGTATTGCTTCCCATTAATCAATGACAGTACAAGGTGAAAAGTGCCTAGATGGCCTGGTGCAAGCATGAAGGGGAAGGCAGAGAGGCAGGGTGGCAGGGTGGGCTTTCTGGAGGAAGTGAAACCTGGACCAATTAAAAGATGAATAAAGATTGGGGGACAGGAGAGGTCTGCTTGGTCTTTAGCCCTCTGGAAAGGAAGGTCAGAGTCTGGCCTTAGATTTTTTTGATGCAGACAGTGGTATGAAAGTAGGCAGGAGAGGTGGTGGGGAGAGTAAGTAATCTGTCTAGTACCTATATACACTAAAAATCTCCATTTGATCCACTTGTCCTCTGTTTGGCTTCTTCAAAATCAGTATAACAGGAGAGGTCTGCTTGGTCTTTAGCCCTCTGGAAAGGAAGGTCAGAGTCTGGCCTTAGATTTTTTTGATGCAGACAGTGGTATGAAAGTAGGCAGGAGAGGTGGTGGGGAGAGTAAGTAATCTGTCTAGTACCTATATACACTAAAAATCTCCATTTGATCCACTTGTCCTCTGTTTGGCTTCTTCAAAATCAGTATATATTACTTGAGCTCTGGCTTCATCAGATTTACCCTTAGCTCTGATTTCTTCACTTAGTAAAAAAAAAAAAAAAAAGACTCATAAGTCAGCACTTCTTATACTTTAATGTGCACATAAATAGCCCAGAGAGTTTGTTAAAATGAGGATTCTGATAAAAAAAAGTCTGGGGTGGGACCTGAGATTCTGGGTTTTAATAAGATCCCGGGTGATGCAGACCCTTAAGTCAGCAGGTCCTTAGAATCACACTCCAGGGAGCAAGAATATGTATATTTTATGTTCCAAAAAGGTTTCTGAATTTCTTTCAAGGTGTCTAAATGAAGTGTCTTAGCAGTGCTGGTGGGTAAGGCTTAGGAAGCAGATTGTAAGGAGCAGTTTATGGCAACTCAGCTTTTAAACAAGGTAAGGAATCTGGTCAGTAGAGTGGGGAATGGGATGGAGGACAGTGAGATTGAAGGTGAAGACACCAGCCTAGTGAAATGTGGTGTGGAAAGGGCAGTGACTGTGTGGTTGGAGAGAAGTGGAAGGGATTCAGAAACATGGAAGAGGAAGGATAAGGTGACTGCTTACGGGTGGAGTGAGGGAGAGGGAGATAAACCAGGATAATTCTCAATCTTCTGACTTGAGTCTTGGTAGCAAGTTGTACTGCCTATTATAATAGGGAAAACAAGGGGAGGGGAATATTTTATATTGAAGGTATTAGATGTGTATGGAATGCTCAGAAGGGGAAGCACAGTAAGGAGCTAGATATACTGAGCTTAGAGAACTCTGGGCCAGCAATTCAGATCTGGGTGGAGTGAAATCTGTGAGTGAGGGATAGATCACTTGGGGAGAAGACACAGGGAAAGAAGAGGCCTAGGCACATCAACATTTATTTAAGGAGTAGTGGAGGAAAAGGATTCATCAAGAGATTGAGAAAGACCAGCCAGAAAGGAGTACTAGGAGAGAAGTGTCAAAGGTTTTCAAGAAGGATCAGTGTGGAAGTGTGGCTTCCTTCTACGAATCTACTACAGAACAGCAGAAGGTACTACTACTGTAAGGCTGCTGGTAGAAGCTTACTTTTCTTGAGATGCTGTGTGCTGTAAGGGCTGCGACACTGGAGAACAGGTAGTTAGCTTTAGAGAGAAAGCCAGATTCATCATCCAAGCAGTCCATGTGAAAGACCAAGAGTTTAAATCAGAGGATCAACACTGATTACCTGTTAGAGTATTGGAACTTAAAAAAGAAACAAAAAACCTATGCCCAAGCCCTACCCCCAGAGATCTGACTAAACCTCTAAGGGAATATCAGGTCTTTGCCAGCAAACAACATGGGTTGGGTTTGAAATGTATGGGTCCACTTATGTGTAGAGTTTTTTCAATATACAGTTGGCCCTCCATATCCCCAGGATTCAAATCCAAAGGGCTGACTGTATGCCTTGTTCTGTGCCATTTTATATAAGGGACTTGAGCATCTCAAATTTTGGTATCCCCAGGGGGTCCTGGAACCAACACCCCATGTATACCAAGGGACAACTGTACTTTGGACTCATACCATCAAGGTGAAAAGTAATCACAAAATAGGTTTTCAATCTGATCATTAGATTTATGGCCTTCTTTTCCAAGTTTGGTCTTGAATCCCATGCTCCTGCCCTTTTTTGGAGGTGGTCTTAACACATTTAAGTTTTGAGTATTTAAAACCACTTTTCTCACACCTATTTCCTAACAGGAGAGAGTGAAGGTAAAGGAACCAGCCTGTTGGCAAATGGTGACAAATCTTTGAGAATGAATAGAAAATGCAGTGTTATTAGAGCTCTTCACCCCAGGACAGGGTCCACTGAAAGACATCACAACCAGCCACACTTCTTGGTAGAAGACATTTAGGTCTAGTTAAAGAACAGGATGTTCAGAAACTGTTTTTGTACAGGCTTGTTTGCCTCTTCCTGGGTTTACAATGTGGTCCAAAGGTCTTACTTAAAACAGTGGGACAGAGCCACTCCTCTGTTCGGCTTGAAACTATAATACAACCAGCCTTTCCCCTCTACAAGCTACCTCAAACTGAGGATGGATCCCTCATGCACTAATTTTGAGGTTGGAAGAAGAATTTGACCAGAATCTACAAGAACAGATGAAAACCGTAGTTCCAAGACCTGAGATTTCTTACCTCTGGTTAGGAGAGGCCACCATTGGCTGTCCAACTCTCTTCTTCGGTCTGGTTAGCTGAGGTGTTGGGATTTCCCCTTTGAGAGCAGGGACTGAAGGAAGCAGACTGGCCTATAAAAGGGCAAGTCAGCACACTGTAGCCACAATAGGTTCAAAGGGTCTTAAAACATCAATAATTTTATTGATAGTGGAATTTTTTTTACATTGAACACAACTTGAAATAAGTGGGTCCAGAAACCTTGATGATATAGTTTTATTCCTCAAAAGGCTGTTATTCTCATGGGGTTTGATCTATGCCTCAACAGGATGTTTCTTAATGACTTGAGGGGCTCACTATGGATGTGTAAGATTTTCTTCCGCCTTCACTAAAATCTCAAAATCAGTACTGGCTCCCACAACAGCAGGCTTTTGATTCCATGTGAGAACCAATGGTAGGGAGCTCTTAAACCTCAGCAATGTAAACTTTCTATTGGTTTCCAGTATGATTATATCATACATTCTTATTCACAAGAAAAAGAAGAAAATTTGTGTTAGAACTAGGAGACTTTTTGAGTTCACATATGTTCAATTTCATTTTCAGATGAGGAAAGTAAAGCCCAGAAATGAGAAATTACTTGCCTAAGGTAATATAGCTTCAAGTAGCAGAAATGAAAATAGAATTTAGTTTTCTGATTCTTATTCCATTGTACCCATCCTGCCTCCCCCCAAATCCCTTGTATATTTTGAAAGTAATTAAGTTCTTACCTGAGCTAGGTTTAATCCAAGGTTCAAGTTGGTAAAAGGCAGTAAAGTAATGCCAGGAGAGGCAAAACAGAGGAAGAAGAGATTGTAGCAGGCAAAATGGGGTGGGGAGTAGGCTACTGGGATCCAAATAGAAAGAAAAGAAGGCAGTGCTGGTAAGAGGGCAGGGAGGAGGGTATTCTAAATAACTACTATTAATTGCATAGCTCCTGTTTCTTTCTAATCCTCCTAGGGGTTTCTCATAATTGCCTCCTCTTCTCATGGATTCTATTTCCTGCGCTGAGATAAAATTTTTCATTCTGTAGTCCTCAAGGCACAGAAAGTAGGGTAAAAGCCTCTTCCAGAATATCCAAATGTATGGTAGATAGTTAAGGTAAAACAAAACTTACCTTTTTGTCCCACTAAGTAATTTACTTAATATCATCTCTCACTAGTGTATGTTTCATAAAGAGTAGTTTCATTCGTTTCACTAATATTAGGTGATTTTTATTGTTGTCATTGGTAAGTGGAAACAGTGTGATATGTAGGTGATCCAAGGGGTCTTTTCTCCCCCTCAAGGTAAAGGGGTCTCTTGAGAGCACTTCAAAGGCAGTAGCTTCAACACCAATGATACTTTCCAAATCCATTCAAAATAGAAAATAAGAAATGAGCCTAAAGAAGCTCTCTCATATGTAAGATGATATGGAAGATAAAAGAAGCAGGTATGTCTCAACTAATGGTGGCTCTGGGAGCCACATAGAGAAGACTGAGAATTCCTGTTAGTATGAGAGAAATGCTGCTTGTATGGTTCTGTTCCTAGTTACTATTTTTCTGTGCATCCTTCTTTGCCTTGATATGTGCTTTGGCTTCTCTAGCGGCCTCAAACATTTGTTTTCTTTTTTGGATTGCCTATACATAAGACCAGGAAATTCAACTATATTAAAACATGAAAAGTTGATGGCTGTTCTTTTCAGTGGAATAGTTTTTCCTTCTCTATTGCATCAGATTCTTGGCATAGCCTATGGTTTGGCCAAAGCAATTCATTTAGTGTTCCTGTGTTTAGCTTGTTAAACATATTGGCTCTTCATACTTGGGGCCATGGAACTAAGCCCAGAATTAGTCACGCATTTATAAACATTACTTAGCTGATTTAACAATACAACAGAATTACAG